ACACCAATGAATGAACAAAGATCTATACCAACAGATGTCTGATGACTGCTTTTCTGAGCTGTAACATAAGTCTTAGGATCTTAAGACACTCTAACTTTTTACGGATACAAGCTATGCAGTTCACATTTTCACCAGGGGTTCACGACACCATTCAATAGAGCAAAGCAAGCCTACAAGAAGATCTGCAAAAGTTCGCCCCATCTTGAGTTTGCATCCAAAATGTGATCGTACTGAAGGCTCAGAAAATCGCGAAAAATTCAATCTTCGTTCAGAAAAATCCTACGAACTTTCAACTTGTTCATAAAAATTGAGCACTACATCAGACACTCATATGCACCGTTTCTGAATTTCTTCATTATTTTGAGATCGAAAAAACGAAAATTTTCAAGTTTTCACATCAATATTTCTCGAAAATTAGGGCTAGTAGAAAGCTGAAAAGCTTACGATTATGCTTCTAAAAAATTGTAGTATACAATTATGTAAGCGGAAACAGAAAAAAACGAAGCTAAGCTGTTTCCACTCATACAATGCTGGCCAACACTCTAAAAATCGTCATAATTTGCGTTCTGTCGATAATCTGTCTGAAACTTTGCTGTATTGTGCGCATGATAATTTATCATAACATGCCAAAACGGCTTCCACTTTGTTGAGTTCGAACGGAGAAAAATAGAGAAATTCGAAAAATCCTCTACCGAAGATGGATAAAATTATAAAGACACCTGGTTTTTTTTGAACACCATCGCGTACCCTAACTTTAGATTTTTTTTATACAAATACAATTACATACTAAATTATAAAACATCTGCAACACTTACGGTCTGTCATTCTACTCAAATAGAAGCGATCACTGCATTTTCTGCTTTCAAAGGCACCAAAAGTCATTCTGCTCTAAAAGAAACTGGTTTGAGCAGTTTTCAAGCTCTTGTTCATTTCAAATGGTAGTCATGAAATTCGCTGACCTCCTGGATAAAAGAAGTGAAGAGCGCTTTTGTAAACTCGTAGTCGCTGATATGGAAGTACAGACTCCAATTTCAACGGCCGCAGACTCCATCCTCAACGGCTTATCACGCTTTCAAGCTACAGAACTCAGTTTGCAACGTCCATAAAGTGCTGAACTTGATCTATTACATTGCCTATATGGTAATGCAACTTTCGCAACAAATTCCAAATTTTCCCTAATGATGCGGTCGTTATTTAGACCTAAAATACTTTCCACGAAAATTCTCTGTGAGCAATAGGTTCGAGATAATCATATATCTCACCATTTTCCTCTCTGTTTCATGTCAAGTTCCACCCAAAAAATGAGATTAGCTAGGATTTTGAATTTCTGGGAGGTCTCCTGTTCTATTTCGTGATCTGAGTTAGCTATGATTATGCAGGGTGCTTCACTCAGCATTCAGTGGATGAGAACCGCTGCTGAACCAGAGTGGTCAATCCCGAAATATTTTTTTAGTCAAGCACACAAGTTCACTGTTGTATGCCGTAAGGGCTACATTACAGTATTTTCTGCTGCTTGAAAATCGAGTTTTGTGGTGCAAAGTGCGCCAACCCTATGGTGAGGTTGGAATCTGTCTGTCAATTTCAGCCATTACGCAGAGTTTACAAAAGCGCCCTCCACCTTCTTTGTCCAGAAGGGTCGGTGGATTCCATGACTAGCATTTGAACAAGAACTCAAAAACTACTTAAACCAGCTGCTTGTAAAGCAGATTGACTCTTGATTTTAAAGCAAAAAAATACAGTAACCGCTTCCATTTGAGGATGACAGGCCGTAAGTGTTTCAAATGTTTTTTTTATTTTAGGATGTATTTGTAGAAAAATGTGAGAATCAACGAATGCGATAGTGATAAGAAAAACCAGGTGTCATTATAAATTTGTCCAGCTTTCCTTAAGAGCTTTTTTCGTTTTCGTTCAAACTCAACAAGACTGGAAGCCGTTTTGATGGGGCATGGTAGGCAAACATGCGCACAATACAGCAAAGTTTCAGACAGATTATCGACAAGAACGCAAATTACGACGATTTTTTAGAGTGTCTTTATAATTATGGCCAGCACTGTATAAGTGGAAACAGCTTAGCTTCGTTTTTTCTGTTTCCACTTACATAATTGTATACTACAATTTTTTAGAAGTATAATTGTAAATTTTTCAGCTTTCCACTAGCCCTAATTTTCGAGAAATATCTATGTGAAAACTTGGAAATTTTCGTTTTTTTCGATTTCAAAATAAGGGAAAAATTCAGAAACGGTACATATGAGTGTCTGATGTAGTGCTCAATTTTTATGAACAAGTTGAAAGTTCGTAGGATTTTTTTGAACGAAGATTGAATTTTTCGCGATTTTGTGAGCCTTCAGTACGATCACTTTTTGGATGCAAACTCAAAGTGAGTCGAAGTTGAGGCAAACATTTGCAGATCTTCTTGTAGGGCTTGCTTTGCTCTATTGAATGGTGTCTTGGACCCCTATCGAAAATGTGAACTGCATGACTTATAGCCGTAAAAATTTAGAAGTCTTAAGATTTTAAGTCACTCTAACTTCTCACGGATATAAGTCATGCAGTTCCCTATCCCCTTGTGAAGTTTCACCGAATGATCATCGTAAAATTTTTTCTTTGAATTTCTATTATTCCATCCGAACAGCGACAACAATCGAAATAGACAGAAATTCGATATGTCCTAGAATATGAATGACTAGATAGCTTTACTGTGAGCAATAAAGCCAGAAACTTGGGCAAAACTCCCAACAACAACGACAACGTTTTGAATAAAAAATTTGAGAATGACTTACAAAAAGAAATTCAAATCGAGGGTCAATTAAACCAAGTTTCAGCAGTGATAAGCCGGAATTCGGTTTCGAGTACATTCAACTTCTTTTTTCAACAATGTTGTTTTGCAAAAAGCTAGGATGAAACAAGTCTAGCAATCATCAAGGTGAGAACGATGGTTAGATGAATCCATCGAAAGTGAGTCGAGAACGCAAACTCCTGATTGAGCCTCCCATCGCACACCCATCGTGAACACCCTATGACGTTTACAAAGCCTAATGTTTTGACGAGCATGGTCAACAGACTCCCGATAGACTGAGCAAGAGCGCCGAGAGCAGGCCATGTCTTTCCAGTTCCTCGACTAAAAAATTGATGAACGTATCAGTTGTCTTTGATGCTCTCGTCCAGCTTCTTTTTTTCCACATTTAGTCTATCCGACAAAGGGACGCCGCTTCCAACGACCATTTTGGTCGGGGAAGTGGCAAAACATGGCCATCCACCACCGAACATTTTGCTCCACAAGGATTGCTTTCTGGAAAATGAACAATATGAAAGATTTACAGAATGACAAACAACAGGCAAAACCGAAACAGTACAGAAATACATCTAAGGCCCGTATGCACGTACATCCCCGCGGGAAGGGGATGTGCGTTTAACCATTGAAATGAACCCCGCTGGAGCTCCCCTCCCTTCCCGACGCGAACCCCCGTATGCAGGAAGACAATAGCGGAGAGGGGAGCCCCCTTATGCAGAAGGGGAGATCGAGCGGGGAATTCATTTTGCTTCCTCTTTTTTGCAGTAATTATTATTATTTTCTTATCTTTTGATAGCTACTCGCCTTCAATGTGCCTTGGCGATATTTAGTCGTCGCGGAATGCCGTCTGCCGTTATTGCGGTCGCGTACTAAAAAAAAATTTCCTACATCCATTGTATTCCAGCTGTTTTCATGGATGCTGCTCATTTTCGCCCATGCTGTCCATTCCAGCGTAAAGGTGTGTAATAATAGAAGTAAAGGTGTATTTGCAGTGAATAGGTAGAAGGCTTATGCTGCCGAATAAAAGGGGGGCCGCGGACATTCAAACCAGCATTTCTACACATAATTGAAGCTGCAAATCATGCCAGCTCTCCATAAACGCTGTAGCTATCAGCTGCATATCGTCCTTTACCGCAGTGGAATGATCCCCAGCGGCCATCCCTGCTATGCACAAGGGGAATAATGGGGAGGGGATCACTCCCCCGAGGATCTCTACTCAGAAACACGCGAGTCTGCTAATTTCATTGTATTCAAAGCAGTTTTACGTTAGGATAACAAGATAGAGACAATTTATCATATAATGTGATAGTTACATGTTGTACCAGCCTTAATGGATAAAACTATCACGTCGAATAGAAAATGCGCAACTCTCGTGAATGGTCACCAACTTCTACAGATATTCGAAACTGGCAGATATATGTCCGGATTTCTTTACAAGGAGCGATTATGGAAGAGAGAGTTAAAACTGCAAGCTACACGCGCTGAGAGAGGAACCCGGCTCCCATAGAAAATCTTTCATCAATTTGAACGAATTGCTTTGTAATAATTGATTGAAATCAGAACACTCGCTTCTCTGGCTTAACCTACATCATCGAACCCCTATTCCGTGGCAAAGGATGTCGATCTCCTCCCCCGCGTTGTTGAGTCAAATTCGCGCATACGGGGTTCGAGTGAGGGAGGGGGAGGGATCCCCTCCCTCATTCGAACCCCGTATGCACTGAGGTTCGCTCGATCAATACCTCTGAAACCATTCACATCATCCCCGCTTATGTGCAGGGGAGGGGATCGCTCCCCTCCCATCTGTCATGGCGGGGTTCGGCGGAGGTATTCGTTCCCCTGAAGATCCAGCTTCCCTCCCCTCCCCAGCGGGGACGCACGTGCATACGGGCCGAAAAGGGGAAAGGTCTACGACTCATGCAAGGAAAAGAACACCTGATACAAAATTGGAGCACAACGCTTAGTCCCGAGGTAAAAACACGCTCCAATTATACGCAGCGGTCGTTTCGCAGCATTTAAGTTCTTCTCGAAAATCGATATACCCGGGGTGATGATAACAACGATGGGATCCTGAACAGGCACAAAAATTTCCTTTATTTTTGTGCCCGTTCAGGATCCCATCGTTGCTTCATTTGTCCTTCCACAGCGATAAAAAACGATCGATTGTTACAGGTAATCCTATCATGATTCTCGAGGTTCGCTTATCCGCTCCATGGCAATGTCAGTGGCATCATTAAGAGAGCTTGCATCTTTTCTCGCTTGATCCTACATATCTGCTTTCTAGATCGCTTGCTGAGCACATTCGCGCACACTATCAAGTGGCCGATAATATCGAGAAAACTCGTGCGAAAGCACTTCTCGGTGGTGACGAAGAAAGATTTGAGGGTCTGCTCAAACGAGTACAATCAGTTTAGATATCTGAGGTCGCGCAAACATTCTTAGCAGTTTTTAGGGAAAGTCGACGGCTCGTGAGCGTATTGAATTACTCATGGAAAAGGGCTCGTTCAGCGAATACGATATGTTTGTCGAACACACTTGCACCGATTTCAACATGCAGAAACAGAAAGTAAGTACACATTTGTTGAGAAGGTGGATTAGCAGCGTGTCAGCTCACGCCATTCAAAAGTATCTGAACATGATGCTGAGTCTCGCTCAACGCGAAAAGTTGTTATTCTTTGTAACTTTAAGAGAGCGAATGCCTTTGTTTTGAGGCAACATACAGTTAAAAGAGTTGCTTTTGCGAAATACGTGAATGCCGGCATTCATTCTGTGAAGACTGAGCTTGATGATAAGACCCAAAAACATTAGTTCCGTCGATTGCAACTTTTGATTGAAAGGTCGCGAATCTATGAACTGAGAAGTTAAACGTGCAGCATCACAGACCGTTAAAAGAGAGTAAGATTCATAGTGACATGTCTGTCTGTCAGCACCACAGATATCGTAACCAAGCCTTTTGCAGTACTTTGGAGATTCTATCACTACTGGACGCGGTCATATCAATTGTCGCAACGTGTACGTATTCTCAGGATTTCACAGTTTTTGGTGGTTGCTTGTTGATAAGATCACGAAGGTATATTAAGATTTTGTGGTTAGACGCATCTGAAAAAAGTTTCTAGGAGGCTCCGACAGTGGGAGCGCCACTCATCGGTCTGAATGACTCCGGCGGTGATCGAATCCAAGAAGGAGTAGATTCTCCTGCTGGCTATGCTGACATTTTCTTGGTAGGCCTTGAAGAAGCCTATGGACTTGAATCGTGCTTCATATGATATTAGGTCGTTCCATAAGTTCGTAGCGTTTTCATTTTCGTCCTCATATTTCCCAGGAGCGGTTGATTTGCGGCAAGATGTCATATTTCACAGCTTCGAAAGATGGAAATTTCAAAAGGCAAAAAAGAGCAATTTCGGCATTTGCGCATTTTTCCTTATGAAAAAAGGCGCTTTTGCAATTTTAGTGTCGATTATGGAATATGGCGCTTGCACATCAATAGAAGACAAAAAAGGATTGGACTGCTACAAAAGATCACGGGCTGAGCAGGGTGTTCCTGAACAAGACTTTTTGAAGGACGGGCAGGACGTCCTGTACTGAAAACTGCTGTACAAGTAGGCGATGGTCACCATACCGTAAGCAATCCAACTTCACCGTTTAAACCAGGTCCTACCGCAGAAAAAGCCTAACAGACAGATTTAGTGAGCTTTTCTGCATGACGCGTCAAAACTGTCCTGCACGACTTGAGTGGAGGGTACTTCAGTACCCAAAGTACTCTCCAAATCTCGCACTATCAGATTATTATTTGCTCCGCTTTTTGGCAAACCTCATGAATGGTTTCTGTCTCGATTTCAGTGAGTAGTTTGAGCGCTGGTTAGATGATTTCTTGGGACCCGGCAAGCTGCCATTTAAAAAATTGAGGTTGAGAAGCTAACAAGAATGTGCCGAAAGGTCGTGCGCTACAACGAGGAATATAATTTTAATTGATTTTTAAAGTGAATTGATGATCTTGTTGGTTTATAAAAACGCTACGAACTTATGGAACGACCTAATAAAACAACACCATTGCATCTGGGCTAATCCTCAGCTGTCACTTATGGGACCTTGTGCCGGTGGTGCGGTGTAATTCCTTGCTATCATTAAATTTACCTTCATGGTAAGTTTCAATGTTTTCTACACTTTTGCTCATCATTGATTTTTAAGTGCGTGACACAAGTTACCTGTTTATCACTGGACCTGATCTTATGAAAGCTGTCACCAAAGAAGAAGTGACTCAGAAGGAATTCGGTGGATACAATAACTGTATTTGTACCATTGGCCAAAGCATCACTGAAGGAAGACCAAAAACACCTCATGCGACATTTTAGACAGGATTCTCCCGACCTTCTTTCAGACCCAACCCAATAAACTGCTCTTAGGCTCTAACGAGATGGCTTCGAGGTTTGAGCAGGGCTTTAGGAACGCATGGATGATAACGATATCGAAAAAGCGCAGCCCTTTGGCGGTTCGGTGAGAGGTGCGCAGTCCATTCAAACTCTCTTAAAGCTTGCTGCAGAAGAGTACTCGCAGAACGTGAAGAGCGATAATCATTTTAAGCATGAGCCTTTTAGACATCGAAGTGAAGTGCATTTGCAATTTGCAGTAAATTGTTTTGCAGTTAATTTGAAATAAATGTCTCGTCTTGTCTTCATTCTTCTATCTTGCTATCTACAAACGCTGAAGTGAGAGAGAGGGAGTAGACAACGGGGGCGGTCGTATGCCATACTATATGGTCTAGAGCTAATTTGGGTGGGGCTAGGGGCATAATTGGGGCTTGGAGCTTATTTAAGAACTAGTTACAGTATGCCGCGGGGGACTTCCGGAGCACAAATATAGGTAGGAGCCGGAGAACGAGCCGGCGGCTACCCGTTTTGTCCTCCAGAGGTATGCCGTCGACTGTCTGAGTCTTCTTTGAGGCTGGTCCGACCATGTGTTAGATATGTTTGATTGCAATATGAGAAGAACGGCATCACAGATTTGCTGATGTTTTTGTCTTCAGAAAAAAAATTGAAATGGATCTGATAGTCATGTCTGAACAAATACGTTGTTGTTGTTGTTCAGACGTTGCTCTAAAATCTTGAGCTGATACAAACTGTTAGATTCATTGAGGTACACATTGACGCACATGCTGGGCTACGAAAAAGGTTCTTCAAATTTTTATCAGCTTATCTTCACGTCGACCTAACCTGCTTGTTAACTAGTAAAGGGCAGCTTTCCGATTCTAGGTTTCTTGAGGAAGTTACCAGTTCGTTACAGTCCTGTTTCTCAACATACAGGGCTTATCAGTTGCAAAGTCGTGTGCACCAGCATCTCTCCCCCGCGTAGCCGCCTCACCTGGACTCTGCATCTCCATCGCAAGCATGCTCTCTAATCATTTCCGCACGCTCAAATAGTGATTGAAACTCTGCCTTTCCCACGTTCGTGGTGGGAGGAGAAGTAATAAGAGAGCTTGCTTGTGAAAGAGATGTAGATTCTAATCGAGGCGGTCGCGCGGGAGCGGAGATGCTGGTGAACCCGACTCTGCAATTGATAAGTTCTGTATATTGACGAAAGCACAATAAAAGCACATTGCGTAACGAAAAGTTATTACATTTAGTAATGTTAACTTTGAATTTACGATAATAAACTAGCAAAACCAAAAGATGAGGTGCTGTCCTGGAAGATGTAAGCTCATTAAGATGAACTGAAAGATTATTCACAAAAAAGTGAAAAGAACTGTCAGTTTTATTGACTTATAGCAATTTTTAAGGCTTTGAAGTGTAAAGTTCACACCCTCATTATGGGCATTAGGGAAACAAAAAAGCGCGGACGTTCCGCAGTACATTAGAACTTATGTAGTCTCTGTAAAGTGTGCTTTCTCGGCTGCAGTTAGTTTGAGAAAAAATCTGCTAGTAAAATGATGCGAATAGCTTCAAGATTTGTTTGAGTTTAAGTTTGAGTAGCATATATTAGGTTGATGCAAAAATAACGACGGTTTTTCTAGGCCTTTTTTCAAAATACTTCTACATTAAACTTTCTTTTCTGAAACAGATGTACATGGCTCCTCAATTACAGAGTCACTTGCACCAGCAGCTCCCGCCCCGCACAGCGGCATCGCCTAAACCCTGCGCCGCGTCTGCGATGCGTGACCCGGGCAGTTTGCCGGGCCTCAGTCAATAGCACCGGCGCTGGCATTGTATTTTCTCGGCCGTTTCGTCCCTTTTCTTTGTTCTTTCGCTAATTTTGCTCTCAACTAGCCTCATAATAATTTTGCAATGTCATTTCATGCCGACAGTCTGCGTCATAGTTCTTTTGTGGACCTAGCTGATGTTTTAGGATTTTGGCTTGGCAAAGTTGGGATTTTCTCGTTCACTTACCTCGGAGAGACGAACACGCAGCTCCTACATTTGCATGACGAGAAGAAGAGGAGCTAGGAATCCTACAAATACCATAGATCCAGAAAAAATCTGTTGCGCTAAATTTCGGCATATTTCTTCATCACGGAGCTACGAGCTAAAACTTTCTGAGGGACTACAGCGCGAAAAAAACGAAGGAAATAACCATTAACCATCAACACGCAAGTGCTACAAAACGTAGAAAACAGTTGCTAGTTGAGGGTAAAGTGAGCGAAAGAACAAAAAAAAGAGACGAAAAGACGAGAAAATACAATGCCAGCGCCGGCGCCATCGATTGAGGCCTGGCAAAATGCCCGGGTCACGCATCGCAGACGCGGCGCAAGGTTTAGGCGATGTGGCCGTGCGCGGCGGGAGCTGCTGGTGTAAGCGACTCTGTAATTGAGGAGCCCTGTAGCATGCCATAGAAAAACTTGTCTCATGCTCTCTTTGAAAACGGAAAAACGGTCCAAATAGGCTACCAGCCTCATGTGTTGAAAGTTACAGAGCTCAAAAAAAACGCATCCAAATCAGAATTTCATTGCATTCGTTTTTCTAGCCAGAATATAAGCATATAACGGCGGTTTCAAAAAGTTCAGCTTCTTTATGTAGAAGAAGTTTTGTCTGCATTACGCACTCTTGAATGTTTCTAGACTGGGATATCGGTGCCTCAACTTGTGTATGTAGTTGTTGCAGTCATTTTATTACCCAATATTTCTTTGGAAGAAGGCAATAAACATTGCTCATTTCTGTGTAAGGGTAAGTGTATCTTGCTAACAGTTTTTGCGAAAACATTTGGCTGTTCAGTACGCAGAAGGCCAAAAAACTACATGATCGAGACTTTGCGGCTCATTAAATTGCAATTTTTTCCTTTCACAGAACATCTCGGTATGAACCCTTTTCATCTTGGGGAAAACATTACAATAGGAGAGGACGTCGAAGTTATTTCCGGCACTTCGCGTTCATTTTAGCTGACACCAAAACTAAGAATAAAGCAAAGAATATGAGACAGTGAGCGAACAAGCTTGCATGCCTCTCAAAGGTTGATTTGAAGAATTGAAAGACTGAAGCGTGTCGAATTTACACTATTATTGATCATCACCAATGCATTCGGTTTATAATGCTTTATTTGAGTATCTCAGGAAAATCTTTTTACCGTTTCGAATTGTAAATAGCACTTGATAAAGTTAAGTGCTACGTCAATTGTTGTGATGCTACTTTTGAAAACTGAGCGCTAACATAAATTGACATGACTGGTAAGCTTCGTTTTCAGGTAATCAAGGTAATAATTCGCTTATGTGGAGACCTCTAACAGCTGATGGTTATTTTAGTGTAAACCTTACGTTGCATTCCAAACGCAGACTGGAAAATATTGCTTAGTACAGTTTGGACGAATCCACAGGTCCACTTTGAAAATGCCATAACTCATGCTGTTGTTAATGAAATATCCCAGAAATTTGGTACAGCTGTGTGTTTACCAGTCAAACACTGCTTCCTAGCTCCCGAATTTTTTTAGATAAAAACACTGCAAAGTGACAAAAATTTACTTTAGTCAAACTGTGTTTTACCCCTTTAAAAGAACCGGTGCTTCTTGCTTAAAACTGCTTTTTTTGCCTTGAAAATGCTTCCACATGTATTTCGCTGCAGAAAATTGAGTCAAGTAGGAAATTCTGCAATTTCTTACTTGGTCGGAGGCGACCGGCTTTCGTCTACTTTCTAGTGCTTTTTGACGTAAGCATTGAGGGAAAATTTGACTTTTTGGTGTTAGAGCAAATCCAATATTGGCATGGCTGCTCTGAACTTCTTCTGCGATATCCTCAGGAGCGTTATTCAAAATGGAGGCATTGTCTGTAAGAAGAAGAGTGGGTGTC